ACACAAACACCATAAAGGATCTTGACCTAGGGAAAAGTACTTGAATTCTTGATATGTCTAGCATGTTGAAGCCAATTTTTCTGAGGGTTGAAATTCAAATTTTGTCTTGTTGTCCTACTGTTGAAAATTGTCATGACATTTTGATTGTGTTAATTGTTATCCATTGCTTGAGGAAAAGCAATAGCTTAAGTTTGGGGGTGTGATAACTCCGTAAAAAGACTATTTTTAAGGCCCTTTTCACTTAAGTTATTGTTTGTTTAAGGGTACATATAGGTCATTTTAGATATATGTAGCTGCATATAATTGCATTTGTGGTGGTTGTGTTATTTTATTTTATTAAGGTGCTATATGAGGAGGAAGGTGTGGTTTTTAGTGATGTGCAGAAAATAACAAGCAAAATAGGCGAGCTGGGAAGTAATGCCGTGGCATCACACGTTGCTGAAGCAGATTGAAATGCCTTGGCATTTCTGGCACAGAAAACGACAAAAATATACAGCTGTACATGGACAGCTGGCTCTGCACGTGAAATGATGGCTGTAACAGCCTGCTAGGGGACCACTGACACCTCGAGGATAAGGTTCATGCACAACATGTGATTCTAGGGGTATGAGGGGTATTTTGCACCCAACAATATCCCAACAACCTCATCATTACCCATAGATATTTTTTATTATATATTACACCTCACAAGAAAGAGAGTGTGTGGAAGAAAGGAGACGCATACTGTAGCAGAAAAATCAGATTTTTATTTTCCCTTTTCCTTTCTTCTTCCTTGGGTTTTCCTCCATTTATAAAGCTTCAAGGAGTGGTGAGCTAGGCGCCGAGAGGAGCTAGTGAGCTAAGGTGGTTCGTGGTGGCCGAGGAGACCTCCGGTGGCGCGCGTCGAAGGCTCTTTCTCACTTCCCTTTGCTCCTACTTTATTTATTTTATTTGTGGGCTGTTGGAACGAATATTTTATGGATTTTTCTATGAATATTTCGAACCCCACCATGAACTAACTTATTTGGTGGTGGTTGGTTTAATGGATGTTTAAACTTTATTTTTAATGGTATGTTTAAGTTTATTTTGGTTCTTTATTTGCTTTGCTTATGAATGCTTCACCATCTAGGCTTGTAAGAGGCATGAAAATGTCCATTTCTTAGTTGAAGGTTAGGTGTTCGGAAGAATCCTAAGCTAAAAATACTTGTAAGTATTCGGAGGAAACGCAAGATAAGATCCTCATAAGCAATGGGTTATGGTATTTTCAAGGGGCTTTGAACCGGCCTAGGAATATTATAACCTAATCCCTTAGATCTCGGAAGAGACTAGGATAGGATTTCAACGACTAAAAAGGGTGTCTTTATCAATAGGTTAGGCTGTCCAACATCGTTGAGTGAGAGTAGATGCCTTGGCATCCTATTCTGTTAGGTTCATGTGAGAACATTTTAGGAAAGCCCTGTCGAGTAAGTGAAGTCCAGAAAACTTAAATATACTTGAGAAATAAGTTTAGCATCCTTAGATCAATCCCTACCATTCATTCCATTGAAAGCTTGTCACGTGAGGATTATCTTCTTTTTATTTTATTTTCTATTTATTTACTATTTTTTTTACCATTTTCCTTTGCCATGACATTTCTTTTTGTTACTCATACACATTTCATTTGCCTCGGCATAATCATTTGTGAATACCATTAGCTATACTTAATTAATTTAGAATAGTGCATAAATTTTACTCAATATCCTTCCAATCCCTGTGGAGACGATACTCACTCATCACTGTATTACTTTTGCGATTGTGTATACTTGCACATTATTTGTGTATAATTTTATAGTACTCGCAATATGCAACAACCAGATCTGTGATCCTAACGATTAGAGGGACCATGATCAACATCACCCTGAGCATAATTTGCACCCATCGGCAAGTTGTCCTCTTGCACATCAAATCCAGCAAGCTGTACCTCTACATCCATCAACATTGTATGTAAGTTGTCTATGGAGAGAGCTTCTTTCATTGTTGAGACAACAACCATGAATGATTGATATTCACGAGGAAGACCCCTAAAAATGCTTACAATTTATTCAACTGGAGGAACAACACTCCCACACGAGGCAAGAGCATAAAAAACTTCTTTAATGCTCGTAAGATACACACGGATACTGTCATTCCCCTTATTTATAGGCTGTAGTTTATAGTGCAAACTCATAACTGACATAGTTGAGCGATTTGCAAAGAACTTGAGAACTATCTCCCAAACCGCAACAGTTGTTTCAGCTGCAACAAATTGTGGTAACAGATGCGTGCTTACTGTTGACAATAGCCAAGATGCCAGAGCACTGTCTTGCGCAATGAAATCTTCATATGCTTTATTCACTTAAGTCTCACCATTGGCATCAAGAATCATCATAGGTGGAGTAAAAACACCACCAGTCAACAGCCACTCTAGTCGATGACTCCGAACCGTGTGCAAGATCTGTTGTTTCCACAATAAAAAGTTGGTTTCATCAAGAACTACACTAACCTTCTTGTTAGTGAAACCACGAGAAACACTAGAGGAAAGATCCATGATCAGACAATACTTCAAGAGTATCAGATCACAAGCGGAAGCAAGAACACACGATCCCAAGATCAATAGCGAATGATAGCATGTTAAGAATGCAGTAAAGAATGAATTATACTTGCATATTTGATCGAAAAACTATACATGAAATACAAGGCTTCTTCTATTTATATACACAAGCCTAACATATTTCACAACTGATGCTAACAACCTTAACTGCCACTAACAACTTCAAGAAGATGCTAACTACTTTACTAACAACACCATGCAAACTAAACATGCATACGCAACAGTACGAGCAGCACGAGCAGCATTGTTGCTGACTCATCATGCTAACAAAAGCAATGAAATAATCACTATTCATTTGTTCAGTTGCTTTGTCATTCCTATTCTCTTTGGTTTTCATCATGAACAAATCCTCAAAATAGTCAACCACTATTTATGAATCTCATCCCTATGTTCGGTCCAACGTTCTTGTGCATCGTACAAACCTTAGATCAGATTCTTCATTTTACTTTGAATGGATCAGGAGAGGAAAAAAGAAATATTACGATCCCCACAAGCAAGCCAGGTAACCCTCGACCTTTGCGACCAATATTGTTCTTCTTTGTCAAGAAGCAACTGGAGCTCACGCTTGGCATCTACAAAATCATCCACAGCAATAGAATGTAAATTCCGGGACAAGCAATCATTGATAAATTTCCAAAGCTTTGAAATTCTAGTTAGCGTTGAAAGAAATTTATTAGGCTGCCAACCCTTTAAAGATGCACCGGCTAGCTCTATTTTGTCAAGCGTTGATCCATAGGTAAACTTCCAGGCCGTATTAATGCGATGCTGACAAACTCTCTCATTATCCCATGTTAAAGAATACATAAATGAAAGAAGGCTAGTATTTTTATTAACCAAAGAACTGTGTTTAGATTACATAGGTTCAGTTGTTTATATACAGCTCTTAGTGACAGTTATAAGCTAACAGACTCCTCAACTAAGCTAACAAACTCAACTTCTGCTAACAACCTCAATAACAACAACAGTCATACACCATGCAATGCAATAAGAGCATTGGTACTGAATGATCATGCTAACATCCCAGCAGTAATGGTATCGAAAATAGTCTCGAGTATGGTGGCACCAATTGCCTCTTTATTTGCGCTCGGTATTCAACAACAAGAAGCAATGATCCGATCTGACAGCATAGTCGGAATAAACACAAAATTATGGATAAGCATTTAACCAATATGAAGGCGCTACAAAACGATCCAGCCGTTCAGCTATAACCGGATGTTGTATATTTCCAGAAAACCAAGTAAACCACCCTTGATGGTTTACAATTCGAGAGGTCATTACGAGCTAAGACAGCACGGAAGCCATCTAATTGAACACGAGGCTTTAGTCGTCCTTCGAACTTTTCGGAAGCTCGTAATATCTCATTAAGATCGCCCTCAAGTAACCAAGGTAATTTTGATGCTCGCTTTAAGAGTATCGATTTTTCGCCATACCTCATGTTTGAATTTCGCATTGTAATTGTCATGTATGCCAGTTAAGTGGAATTGTTTATTACCATTTTTAATAATCACATCAATATGATTCGAAGAGTAAGATAAAAGTTTGATATCAACTTCATTAAACCAGTGTAACATAATGTCAGTACAATTATTATTTCAACGGTAAAACAATCATGCAATCTCATCTTATTCCTAATGAAATCACTATTATTTTGACGTAATCTGGTCTCAGATAAAAATATAGTACTAGGAGATCGCTAGGTAACAAATCGCCCAAGGGATTGAATTGTAAGAGGGTTATCCACCCCTCGACGGTTCCAACCTAACAAATTCATAGTGTTAACTTTTTTCCTTTTTAATTACTTAATTTATGAACTGTTTTTTTAATTTTATTTTTTTTATCTTCTTTTCATTTATGATCCATTTATTTCACACATTAGATAAGAATTAATGGAGCAAACATGATCGAAATTAGAATCTTTAACAAAAGAAATATTACAAAAGAAAGCCCTAACAAGTTGAGGGTGTATATTTTGATCGATAGAGATAAAGGACACCCAATCTCTAGAAAGAAACATTCGATAAAAACTCAATTGATATAATAATACTCATAATTGGATTAAACTTTGGAGCAATGTTTGCATTATTTTTTAAAACCCTATGAAAGCTACATAATTCAAAAAGGTATTAAGTTAAAAATTACATTTTGTAATCCTTATTTAGGGATTTTTTATTAGATTTAGTTAAGAACTTGTTTCCACTTCCTAAAAATAGATGCACCTCATACAATTTAAGCATAGGAATTTGACTTATTAAAAGTAGCTAAATTTGAATAAGTTTGATTTCAAATTGTCCCCTATAAGCTAAAAATTAGAATCTGATGTCGGAAAAAATGCCTAAATGAAATTAGGACATCAAAAAACCGAATAAAGAAAGGCCAAGAAGAAGGTTCAATCATGGGTTGTTCAATCCGCCTCTTTGGTCTTGGTCTTGCCCTTTCCGTCACTCTGCTCATCCCTTCCTCGGCCGGAGCCGGTCACAGGTACAACCCTTTTACCGACACGCCGCAGATAAAAAACCATGGTGGTGAGATGCTGACCGGAAAGATTAAACTAGCCATCATGTGGTACGGAGATTGCGGTAAAGAAATAAAGAACACAATGAGGAACTTCATCAAATCATTGAATTTTGTAGGTGGCTCACCCAAACTTAAACCAAAAGTCGCGAGCTGGTGGGAAATGGTCGAAAGTTACCAATCCTTGATGCCGAATGCAAAGCCCGGTAAACCCCCAAAAATCAGCGTCAAAGTGGCGAGACAATCGTCCGATAAGAACTCTAAATTCGGCAAGGTCTTGACTTTGCAACAACATGTACCGAAGCTCATTCAACGTGTGACTAAAGGCGATCTGAGTCTCCTTCCGGTCATCGTCGGGGCACGAGATATCACCATTCAAGGCGTTTGCTACGGACGATGTTCGTTTTGTTTCCACACGGAGCCACCCAATCCACAGACATACATCGTGGTCGGGAACCCTGAATTCGAGTGCCCCGAAGAATGCATATGGCCTTTCCATGCTACTACATATGCCCCCAAGGGACCGGTGCTTAAACCGCCGAATGGTAATCTGGCAGCCGATGCGATGGTCGTTTCCTTCGCATCCGCATTGGTCGATTCTGTCACTAACCCTATGCGCAATGCCACGTACCATTCATTTTATTCCAAAAAACTCGGGCCTTGCGTCGTTTGCAGTGGCATTTTCGGCCGTGGCTCCACCCCGGGAAACCCCGGCCTGGTTCAAACCGATCCCAAAACTGGTGGGAATTATAACTTCTGTGGGTACAATAATAAAAAGTTCTTACTTCCTGCAATCTGGAACCCCATAACTAATTCTTGCTGGACTGGCTAAGGGAAGTGTCTTTGTACATTGGACACGAAATGCAAGAACAAATTATTATTATTATTTTTTGGAGCGGATTTAGTTCAATTATTGATGTCCCATTTAAGTATTTCTCTTTTTGTTGGTTTTTAAGGGATATACAAATAAACAAAAATATTTAGATAAAAAATAAATGATATAAAATAATTATTAATATATTAAAATTCATGAATATATATATATTTAGATATATATTATGATTAAAAAAATATGATTTTGATGTATTTTATTATTAGGATTAGAGTTCACTATAGTAATATTCCTTACGCCTATAGATATAGAATTTAGAGAAAATGTTGTAAATAATTTATACTGAGATAATAACATAAATTTATCTCTTCATTCTCATATTTATTTAATTCACTTTTTAATTTTTATAAATAAAGATGGCTTAAAAAATAACTAATAAATTCTAACTATTGTCTTTCTCTTGGAGGAGTGAAGCTATTCTTTCAGCTGGCAACGCACAAAAGTAACATCTCCCGTCTCCCAACAGAGCAAGTTTAGCCATGTCGTTCGCATTGGATTTCCTTTACGAGACACGTGCTCAATTTTTACCTCTCAATTTCTTTGTAGCAAACGGCAAACAGGCTGATTTAACGTGTACTTTACGTTATGACAGTTCTTTCTTTGTTGGTGGTGCCTATCGATTTCAAGTATCACATTACATGCATCCAAATTCCACGCTCTAGACAAGCCTTCCAACACTCTCCAAAGTTGATACTCTTGTCTAGAGCGTGGAACCCTCCAAAAGTTGATACTCGTCATTTCTGGCGTTCCATAATTAGAGAGTGTCTGTAGTAGTTTGTCTTTTCCGACGTTCTGACGTGTCTAGATTATGGAACGTTGGAAACGTCAAGAGTATCAACACTCCACCGATGGTCCTATTGATTTTGTTAAGCCATGGATCCGTCCAAAAGTTGATACTCTTATCGTTTCCGACGTTCCATACCACACTATTGGTAGCATCCTCGCAGAATCTACTTAGTTCTCACCCTAAAATAGAGTTGTTCGACTTTTTCAATGTACCTATAATTAAACCATTCCATTTATATTTGCTCTTAATAGTTGCACCCAAAGATGGTATTTCTTTTTTAAGGGGTTAAACACATCTTTCATTAAGAACGCTTCATTTTTTTCACTAGCTTCTAATCTCCATTACTCATCTTGAGATTGGATTGCTCACAACATCCTTATTATGCATTCCTCCTTTATCTGACACACGTCCCCAAATGAATCTTCTAATTTTTCTTTCTATCTAATCGTAGGCACCTTTCAATAACATAGTTGTCTGCATAGCATAGAATGGAATGGTTGTCAAGAAGGATTTATAGCCAAAGTAATTCTGCTCGCTAAGGATAATTTTTTTTTTTTGCTTTCCAACTGGATAACTTTGATTGTACTTTTTGCACCAAGTATCCGTATGAATTCCTTGTCACCTTGCCATGCATCAATGGAACTCTCAGTAATTCACTCAAATCCTTAACCTCTTTGAAATTGAAAACTTCGCTAGTTTTCTTCTTTAGAATTTCATATACATTCTTTGAAAAGAAATGTTTGTTCTCTCAATATTAACCTTTTATCTAAAAGCGGTGCAGAATTTCTCAATGACCTCGCAAATTACCTTCAGTTCATCCATTGAAGCATCTATGAACAAAATCTTGTCATTCGTAAGGAATAGATGAGAGATTCCATGACTTTCCTTTAACACCTTAATGGCTTCCATGTACCCTTCACAATCTCTCTACTTGTTGACTGAGCTAGTACTTTTCATGCACATAACAAATAAATATGCAGTAATTAGATTCCCTTTTCTGATGCCTCTGGAACGGTCCACACCGCTTCTAGAAGATCCCTACCTCCAAAACAACTCCCACATGCAGGGGCTGCGCATGTGGCACTTGCGGCGGCCTATGGTGGCCGCACAACTACCATTTTTTCTATATTTGCATTTTAAGAGCTCAGGAGTTGCTTATTGGTGTTACTTTGCGATGATGAACGGTGAAGAAGAGCTTTTTGTAATGACTGAAATTTCCTTTACTTCACCCCTCGTCACCCCGGTTACGATGACGAAATCTAGGGCACCGATTGACTCCTCTTAACTCCAGAAATACAATAATTCTTGTGGTTTCATAAGCCGATGCTCTAATGGAGACAAAATGGTGTTTAAAGATTATTGGAGAAGAGAGAAAAACAAAAGAGGAAATGTATGTGAAGAGAGAGAATGGGTTTTCTATTTTTGGAGTTCTCGAGAAAAGTGGGAGTTTTAAACCCCTCACTTAAAAAGGAAAATCTATGGTCTAGGTCATCGAGCCTTTCATAAGTTACTAACTTGGTTCAAGATTTATCTAAAAAATTAATTCAATCCCCTAGAATAATAAAGGGAAATTTAACCTCTAAATTGGGGTGTGACAACTTTCCACTCCTTAAATAAATTTCGTCCTCAAAATTTATCCAAGTCAAAGAATTACAGAAACCGAGGCTTCATTTATTCCTCCAACAAAACCCAAGCTTTTGACAAATAATACTTCTTTACCTTCAGTGCAACAGACATACATACATAACTATTTTCTTTCAGATGTATCAAAAACACCTAAAGATTTTCATTTTCACTATGTAAATGAACTCTTTCCTTTAAATTGATATTGATCATACCACTGAGGTACGAGGCTCAACACTTATCATATTCTAAACTTATAAAATAGGAACAATAATAATTCTCGAAATTCTTTAGTTTGATTCATCAGTGCAAAAATTTAGGGCCAAATACCTTGCTCTTCGATCCACTTGGGTAGTAGTTATTAATCTCGAAACTTCACTTGTAAAACTTAACTACGACCTTATCATCACAGAATGTTTGGGGCAACATAAACTAAGTTCATATCAAGAGCCAGGCCAGAGTTCTCAAACAAGTAACTCTCACGTTACTCGTGAGGTTCACGGAATCTGGTCGGACATTAATGATATCCTTTTATACACAGGTTGAGCCCTAATGGATAAATTACTTAGGCATACTTATTATAGATAGATGACTTGACATCAGAGTTTCGGATCAGAGGAGTGCGATTATAATCTAGGGGTATGTACTGACCAAAACATCCTATGATAATTGATTGGCCGGTCTATCCAGAAGACTCGACTCAACTTGAGTCCTGATACCGCTAAATGTAACGCCCCTAAATCTATACAGGTGGCCCGTCCGATTTTAGGTGTCACATTAGGGCCACCGAAACGACCCCATAATCAAAATTTAAAAAAAATAAAATTTTTGTTGAATTATTTCAAACTATAAAATAATTTATAAATATAAACACAATTTCAGAAAAAACATTCATATATTAAAATAAAATTCAATATTGTAGTACATCAAATCAAGTTACAGACTCCATTTGAAAACAAATGTGACATATATGCCCCCCTAATTTCACTTGTACCGTACTCTACAAACAACGCTAAAGGAACTCCCATAATTGAAGTCAATAGTGCACTAGATCAACTTCTATAACCTGAAATGGTGAGTAATAGAATGGGCTTTAGGAAAGCTCAGAATACAAAACTACCAGATGATGCTAAAGGACAAACATGTATATGGTAATCATGAAGACTCCCTTAGCTATCCTGGCATAAACATGTCATAATGATGAGTTGAAGTTTCACTAATCAATTTTTCAGGTATTAGACAACAAGCTTACAATTCAGAGGAAATGTTCAGAGGAACATATTCAGGAGATTGAAAATAGATGTCTAATGTTCTCCCATAAAAACAGAAGTAGTGCAAATATAGTTTAAACACAATAGTAGTTTATTTCAAGAAAACAAATTTTAAAATCACAGAAATACCCTCTGACCAAACACCGATTTGTAGTTTCCTAAAACTGCATCCATAAGGAGTCAATAATTAGAAATTTGATTCTTATTTTGGATATCAGACTTATACTTTATATAAATTAGAGAAAACATTTTTGTCCATAAGTGGCAAACTAGAGGATCCATATACTTTTTAGAAGAATTCATAGTTATTAGGAAGGAAAAACATAGAACTTCGATAGACTAATTAGATTTCAGATACGTGATCCATATGAAAAGGGTTCGATTACTAATGGATCTAATCAAACATTTAGGAATTAATGATTTAGGACTATTAAAAATTTGGATGCTTGGAAGTATTTAGGAACCTTTACATCATAATTATTTAAGATTCAAATATAATAGGAATGCTTCCCTTGTACAGGCTATCAGGGGTATTTAGATTATTTACGATATTCAAGATTCATGTTGATTTATCATGATATTGGTCAACACGAAATGAACAAATCCTAACATTGTGATACTTGTCAATCAATTAAACAGAGATACAGTACATATATTTACTTTTTAACACCATCTGCACTAATTGAACTAATCGCCTTCAAATTCATCGTTGAATGGATCTTAAAGAATTGAAATAGTTTTTCAATGGTATTTATATTATTCTATGTTGTAATAATATCCAGAGTGACCTATGTGTTTAGGTCCTCTCCATGACCTTTATTGGTCATTATATTATTTAATGCTTCATTGGTACTTTTAAAACTTGTCCAAAAACATTTCCTTAATCCAGATCATGAAGGTATTTTGGTCATTTCAATACTAAGGGTTATTCTGGTCATTTTTGAGTTCATGTTATTCTGACCATTTTTGGGTTCAAGGGCAATTTGGCCATTTTAATTATTGATAACTCCGTAAAAAGACTATGTTTTCTGTTTTTTACCTATGTTATTGTGTGTATAAAAGAAGTTGTCATAGCATTTTAGTTGCCTTTAGTTGCATTTAGGTCATATTTGCATGTGGTGGATAAGTTTTGCCTAGGCAAGATTTATTTGGCTTAACTGATAATGTTGAGGAGGAAGGTTCTTTGTTGATAGTGTTGATGCATAAAATAACTAAGGGAGAATTTATTTTCCGAGACAACAATTATTTCCCAAGGCTAG